CCCCCCCCAGCTGCTCCTGGGGGGCTGCTGGGGCTGGGAGAAGTGGTAGCGAAGGGCTTATCTTCAGCAGGTGGCCCGTGGCCTCTGCCCTTGCTCCCGTGTGGCGGCGTCACGAGCCGCAGCCACTGGCTGCACCTGGGAAATGGCTCAGTTTCCCGGGAAGTGCACTGGGGGCAATTGCTGGAGCTGGTGATCCCAGAGCCACGGAGGGATGTGCCTGGGGGCTCTGTGCCTGGGGACCCACAGATCCCAAAGAGAGATGCTTCTCCTTGGGAACCCACTCGCCCCTTCCCTCTCGGCCCCATCGCAGTGTAACCAACCAGCAGCTCAAGCCCCCGGGCCTGTATCTCAGTGGCATCGGGTCCCGGCAGCCTCTGATTCATCAGCTGGCACAGGCAGGGCGGGAGAGGGAGGCAGATCCATCGCATTTCTCCAGGGTGGGTTTACCTTGCTCTGTTCTGTGGTTGTTAGTCATCTGCCTGCCAAATATTCCCCACCAGTCTGGAGGCTTTAAAGCCGGAGGAACGGCTGCGCTGCTCTAATTGACAGATCACAAGCCCTGGGACTTCCCTGAATTAATTTGTGACAAGTGCAATTGCTGAGTATCTCTATTAGGGCAGAGAAACACAACAAAACAAAGCACAAATCCTGCGTATTCAACCTGGATTTAGAAGTTGGCAGGGACGGAGGCTCTTGTGACAGTCCCTGGCAGGCTGGTCCCCAGGAGGGCAGCCACAGCCGTCCTGGTTGATGCTGCATCCCGAGCTGACTGAGCCTGGCGCCCCTGTCCACACCGAGACCTCCCTGACCCTGCCCTGCACTGGGTCGGGATTGCTGTGAGCTTGTCTCTCTTATTAAGATGGGTCTGTCCTGCGTGTCCATGCCTCAGTTTCTCTCTGTACACCGGGGAATAACAGCCCTGCCTTGCTACACAGAGAAATGTGGGAATCAACTCAGGAATCCTTCACTCAGTACCAGAGCTGGCCGGGCCATGCCAGCACCCAGCTTCCACCTAATTCTCTTCTTTCTTAGCTGATTGTTGGGGACCGAGCTCACCGAGGAGGGAAGGAGGTGGGTGTGGACAGGCTGCCGGAAGACTGGGAGTTTCAGAGAAGTGTCCCACCCAAGCCAGCTCTGGAAAGCCAGTCCCCATTGCATCTGGGATCTATTTATTCACTGTGAAGCTTTTCTTTGGAAAGATAATGCTAAAAGGATGTCTATAAATTGCAGAACTAAAGCATGAGTGTCCTGGCCTTCATCATCCATGCAAGCACTCGCTCCCAGCCAGCAGCAATCCTGCAAATCATCACTGAAAATCACCTTCCCTCCCTTCATCCCGAGGCGGCCTGAAGCTGCCGTGGGGGCTGTGCCATGGGCAGGGGTCTGGCAGTGCAGGAGGAACTCGCTTTCCCCTTAAATCATGGAGGAGCATCCTTCATGGGGTGTCAGCCCTGCGTGGCTCCTGGCCGTGCACAGGGGACTGGCCACATCCCTGCTCCTTCTCCCCTGGTGCCGACAGTGAGACCCGGGAGTATCCTGCTGCCAGCTCAGAGCCACACCAGCTTTCACACCAAGGCAGCAGATGAGCAACTGTGCCTTTGGTCTCTGGACTCATGTGTCCAAATCCTCCTCCTGGTTCAGCTTTGTGGGTGGGTGTTTTAAGTGGAAGCTCAGCCCCAACTTGTCGCTCCTGCCCTGTGTCTGAGTGCATCTGTGCGGCCTCGGCTCCCCGCTGAGCATTGTCCTTTTGTCTCAACAGCTCAACTCGCCCATGAACTCAGTTAGCTCAGAAGACATTAAGCCACCCCTGGGGCTCAATGGAGTCCTCAAAGTGCCAGCACATCCCTCAGGAACGATGGCCTCCTTCACCAAGCACATATGTGCCATCTGCGGGGACAGATCTTCAGGTAAGACTGGTGCCTGCCCCGGGAGGGCAGGGGTGCTCCCAGCAGTGTGCTGGGGCTGTGCTCACGTGCGGATGCCCTGGAGAGCGTGGTGAGGGTTTGCGTGGCTCCCCTGCTCCCTGCAGCACAGCCACTGCAGGGGGGGACTTGCCATTGGGAGAGGAGCTGCCCATGCCCTCAGAGAAGGGCATGAAAAATCCCTTATTGAGCAGCCTCGCCCAGCCTGCCTGGTCTGGGGCGGGCTCTGAGCTGAGCCAGGAGACCCCGGGTCTTTGCTCAGCAGCGGTGTTACATCCTCGGCCCTGAGCAGCACAGCCCCTCTGAAGACAAGGCAAGAGTAAGCGTCCCTCCCTCTGTCCATCTTTGATCCTCAGTGGTATTGTCACGTAGTGCCAGATAAAAAGATGTGCTTCACGCGGAGTCTCGCCGCCGCTCCTGGGAGATAAAGATGTGGTAATTCCCTTCACTCTGATGCTGGGTTTAAAAGCTTTCAGCTCCCGAAGTCTTCTGGTCGGCTAGTTTGTCCTTGGGGACACCTCCTGCGCCTGTTGGGCTCCAGGGCTGGAAGAAGAGGGTGGGCATATGGGGCAGAGCAGGCTGGGCTCTGAGTCTGATGCGGGGAGTCTGATGGGTTGTGGGGGGCTCAGGGTCCCCCCCTCCCCATTTCACCACTGTGCTGCCTTGTCCCTGATGTATGGCTAAGAAATGGCAAGGGCTTTTCCTGGGTGTAAGGCGGGTTGTCATGCCATGGAGGGCATCCTGATTTTAGAGGAGTCAAGTCAAGACGAAGCCGCTGCTCTTTAGCTCCTGCTCCCAGAATGAGAAACCGCAGCTTCCCCCCCCACGGCTGGGAGAGGCCCGATGGTCTTTGCGGTGAGGGAGAGCAAAGGGACTGTGCTGGGGGCACCCAAGACACTCCGAGTCCCTCTAACCCGAGTCGCATCCCCCCCACAGGTAAACATTACGGGGTTTACAGCTGCGAGGGCTGCAAAGGCTTCTTCAAGCGCACGGTGCGGAAAGACCTCACCTACACGTGCCGCGACAACAAGGACTGCTTGATCGACAAGCGCCAGCGCAACCGCTGCCAGTACTGCCGCTACCAGAAGTGTCTGGCCATGGGGATGAAGCGAGAAGGTAAGGCAGAGCCTGGCCGGAGCACCCATGGGTGTTGCAGGTCCCTTTCCTTCGTTGGGAGGCTCCAGCGCGTTCCTGCCTGTCAGCAGCGTGGCAGCACCATGGGCACCAGAGCCAGCACGAGCCTCGCCAAGGGCTGCCTGCACCCGAGTGCCAAAAATATACGTGTCTCAGTTATATTTTGCTTTTGTGCCACAGCCACGGCCTCTAATGGGCTCCAAAACAGCGCTAAGTCTCAGAGGGGTACCCGGGTGATGGATGGCTGCATGTTAGTGAATGAGCCAGTGCCCAGCGGCAGCGAGCACAGCACCGGGGAGGGGGGGGCGCAGTGAAAGCAGACAGTGCTCACGAGGTCCCTTGCTGTCCTGGAACTTGCACTCCCCATTTTGCACCAGCTGCCTCGTGTTGGGAGCAGCGATGGCAAATACACGGAGCTCTTCCCTTTCCCCGCAGAGCCCCATCAAGCAAGAAATGCGGAAGCTGTGGGGGCTGAGGGCATTTCGGGTGACAAATGCCGCCTCCTGGCCTGGCCCTTCTTTCTCCGTGCAACACGGGATTGTCGCATCCTGGAGAACTGGAGCTGATGAGGGGACACTGGCAAGATAAAGATCGTGGTTAATTCGCTGGTTACTAATCGCCGCGCTGCCAGGGCGGTGAGAGGCTCCCACGTGTGTCCCAGCTGCATGCTGTTTGTAGTGCACACCTCGCTCAGGAGGGGCAGGGAAACCCGGTGAATTATCATCCTTCTTGTCAGAGTCTGCTGCGCAGGCACCAGCACCGAGCACCGGCTGCTCTAACTCAGTAGCATTCCCTAGCAGTCACAATAGTTGATTTTTTTTTTTTTTCTCATTGGAAAGAAGAAATTCAGTCTCATAAAAGATATCACTCCCCTTACTGGAATTTAAATTTAGGATGTAAAACTCCCCGGCAGTGCCTCTTTTAAATGCTGACTGGGTCTGTTTTAAACTGCTGGCAAAACAGGCTTTTACCAGACGTGACGTGAAAATGACCCCGTGGTGCTGCTCAGTTCTCCGCTGCCTTCTCCCCTTACATCTTCTGCTCCACTCTCGCCTCCCTGACCCGCCGATAAACCCGGCCCTCCGCCGAGTCGCTCCGCGAGCAGCGCTCCAACCCGGGTCTGTTTGAAGAGCACTTAGTCTTGTCTGGAGTGCTCACGGAGCTGCACCCAGCGTTGAGCAGCCCCTGCCACGCTCGATTTACGGGGTTACCCAAGGAACCACGACACGTGGAGCCTTCAGTGTCAAAGCTGCCTCTGCTCCAGGTGTGGGGGGGATGGCAGCGGGCTGAGAGGTGAAGACACCCAGAGGACCTCCTTGGCCCTGCACAGCTTAACCCTTCAGTGCTTGGAAACAAAGCTTTCTGACCCACCAGACCTCTCGTCTTAAATGGAGACGTTCAGAAAATGCCTCTGAAGATGAGTGGCACAGGGCAGGCGCGGTGCTTTGTGTGCGGGGGGCGGGCGTTGCCCTGGCGTGATGGGCAGAGCTGGGGAATGTCCTGGATCCCACGGGAGATGTGTGGCAGGAGGAGGAAGGTCTGATCTCCAGCTATGGGAGAACTCGGGTGACTAAAAAAAAAAGCCAAGAAGTCTCCTGCGTGTTCAGCAGCAGCACTTGCTTCTCCAGGGAGGGATGCAGGTGTGGATAGGTGTGGAGCATACCGTTACCCTGGCTTTGCCTCCACCACCTCGCAGCAGCAGCTGGAGCCCCTCTTTCCTTTCAGACCCCTAGAACATCTCAGCCAGCGTCTGTAGGGAAGGGAACACCAGCAGTGATGCTTTAACTCCACAGCCTGCACTGACATCCTGTGCTCGGGTACCTGCCTCATGCCTACCGTTAGCGGTGATTGCATGGGCAGCATCACTAAAATTATAGGTCCATTAATTAATTTCTAAATGGTGGTGGAATTCCCCAGGGAGTGCGTACAGTATGAGGACTCTATTAATTCATCTTGATTAACATTATCACAATGAATACCAAATGAATTCATAACGATCAGCCAGTTATTTAAAAGTGTGACAGATGGGATCTTCGTAACTCTAGAATTGCATTCAGGCGGCGCTGGCTGATCTTCCCATGCCGGCGCTGCATGAGGACAGCTTCAGAGAAGGGCAGAAAGCCCGTGCTTTGGCAGTCAGTGGGTGTTTAGGGTGTAATCCCCACATAGGGAAGGCTGGAGTAACTCCCCCTGTCCCCAGATAAAGCTCGCTTGTTATAAATCTAAAAATTCACGGTGTCTCCTGTCAGGTTTGGAGGTGTCCTAGTGTTGTTCTAGACCTGAAAGTCTGAAGTTAGGCCTCGCTGAGCTTTGGTTCTGAGCAGCTCTTGAGTTTCACATGGGATGTCTACCAGATTTGTCAAAAAAGGGTCTCCTCCCCGTTGCATCCCTCCCAGCTCGCTGCTGCCCATGCACTTTGCCAGCCAGGAGTCCTTAAACCAGTCCTGCTGCCTCCCCATCATCTCTGATTTAGGGAACAGTTTTGGGCTAAATCCTGCATTCCTCAATCCTTTTGCCTAAATACTCACAACATAGCCAGCTTTTTATCCTCTGGTGTAAACTTTTGCATATTTTAAGTAACAGAGCTGGGGTAATGGGCCTCATTTCCCTAAAAAATATCTTGCTCTGGAGACCTAATTTACAGCTACATAAAGGCATAGCAGATTCCTGCTGGGGAAGTATCTCTCCTGTAGCCCAAAGGTATTTGTATGTCATGAAAGTACAGTAAAACCCTCTAAATGAAGTACTATAGCTCAGGTGAGCGAATAAGTGTTAAAGGCATCCTGCAAGGTGGTGAGAAGTGCTGCAACCTGCAGTGGTGCTGGGAAGAAGAAGGGTGAGGGACATGTTTGTACCCAAAAATCCTCTGCCGGAAAGGTAAAAGGAAAGCGTCTCTTAGACGTTGGCTTAAAGGAGCAAAATCAAGGCGACCCCTGGGACAGCTGATGGAGCTCTGGAAGGGTTTGATCCCCACACCTGGGGGGTCTCCGGGTGAACGTGCCCAGAGCGGACCCGGCAGGATGGACCCTGACCACGTGCTCCGGGAAGGAGCCTGCCCACAGCAGATGGAGCAGGGTGGCAAGGGGTGGCCGTGGGCTACTGCTGGAAGGCTGGGGCATTGCTTCAGGGCTGCGAGGCTTGGCTTAAAGGGGTGAGAGCCTGCAGAAGCGGAAGATTCCTTCTGGTGCGCGCATCTCTGCTTGCTGTTCCCTGTGAAAAACATTTAAGATAGATCCTGACGCTGTGTTCATGGTGAATGAGCCTCATGGACTCTGAGGTATTGCGGCTATAATAAATAAGCAACTGGGAACATTTTTCCCCTATGAATTACTGCCAGCTGTGTGAGGCTTTGGTTCTTGTACTCTGTCTCCCACTAAATACCGGATAGTCAACAAAATTAAGATTACCATCAGGGATCTTGACTAATGCAGGGATTATTATTGTGGGGGTGGCTGTTTGCATCCAGAAGCATAACTCTCTGCTTGATCTGTTACTCATTAGAGTCTAAGGTGTCTGTGTATCAGCAGCCTTACATTTTAAAGGGAAAAAAGTGGAAACTGCCTTTGAGTGAGGGAAGCAGAGGTCTTGTGAAGAGGTGGGAGTAAACACCGAGGCTCTTGGGATAAAGGCGTCTTGCATGCGGTGCCGTTAGCTGGGGTTAACTCCAGAGGTGAAGGGGGTCATCAGAGACGACAAACTCCATGGCCTGGCCTTGCAGTGTGCTGCTATCTTGTACGACGAGGTCCCGGCCCCACCATTGCTGGCAACGCCGCCGGCTCGCACAGCGAGCAGGAAATACCAGCGAGGAGCCCTTTCTCATGCTCCCGCCGGCCGCTCTTGGACGGCTCACAGGGAGCAGACGTTGGGAACCGGCGCAGCCCGGCCCCGCTCCGTCTCCTGCTTCTCTTTCCCCCAGCGCTGCCTCCGGACATGAGCGGTTCCTCGGGTGAGCCAGACTGTCTCCGTAGGACCTGCTGGGCTACCCAGTTTGTTAACAGGGCTACCACTTGCCAAGCTGAAGCCTGCAGCCCGAGCGCGCTGCGGAGCGCTAACAGCGGCGTTTGGTGCTGACTTGGTAAAATGGATGTAGATGCATCTCCGCTGGGAAGATCGTAGCCCATCTGGAGACCAGAAGGCTGTCCTCCCCCAGCGGCTACGGCTCAGGCTGCATAACTGACCCCCCAAGATCGTTCCTAAATCCAGGCGCAGATACCGGCACGGCGGTGGCCTGGGTACGGCGCAGCTGCAGCTTGTCTCCGTCAGCTGCCGTGACATGATCCAGAGTCCTGCTCTGAGGATCCAGGATACCTTCTGTCCGGTTGCATGCCTGATCTCTGACTTTAAGACTTCATTAAACTTCACAGCCTGAGATAATTCTTCCTCTTCCCTTGTGTTTGTGCGTTGGCTTTTCCCCTCTTGCTTGGCGCTGGCGTTGAGCTGAGGGATTTAACTTGGGAGGGGTTTGACTTGGAGCATCGCAGGGACCGACTCTAGTCTGCAGCTCAGAGACCTCTGCGTGTCTCCAGGGAGCTGCTCAGATGCATCACTTAGCTCAGAGGGCCCAAAGTTTCCCCCTTTTTTAACCCGGAGTGACCTGAAGCTCAGCTCCTGCACTAACGCAGCAGTCACCGAGCTGTGCCTGACCCTCCTGACGTGGCTGTGTGTCCCCCCTGCACCCCCAGAGCTGGAGCCATCCCGGCTCCCGGAGCATCTCTCGGGACCAAAAGGAGCAAGGGGAGTCTGGGGAGAAGGAGCAGGAATTCAGGTCCAAGTCAATGTAAAAGCAGGCAAGTAGCCATATCCTAGTGAAGGGGCAGAGTTCAAGAGCACAGTTATTTTTAGTAATAATTTTGGAATGGAAAATGTCTTTCAGCTTAATGAGCTTGTTTCTTATATCCTTTTAAAGTGCTGCTCTTTAAACCAGCTGGTTAAATGATGTTGGGTTTGTTTTTTGTTTTTAAGGATACTCTTAGGTTGAGAAC